CTAGGGGGAGCTGCTTCTCCCTTTAATCAGTGATCTTAGTTCCTTCCTACCTATAATTTCTCTGTCATACAGTTATAAAACTATTATCCAGTTCAACAGACACACTCACACATTTATGCAAGGACTGGTACCTTATTCCCACCTGAATTTGAACACAGAAGAGATTGCTAAGGTAAAGTATTTCATTCTTTTTCTTGTCAGGGATGCAGCCAGGAATAAATATCATCAATCTATGTAACCCATCTTCCTTATCTAAACCAAAATTCAAAGAATTTAGCTTTGTTCTTAAAAGAAGGAGGGGGGAGGAAGCCTATTCTTTAGTCTTTATCACCTACCCAAAATGTTTTTGAACTTTTTAACAACATTAAAAGTAATACTAGTATTATAGCATACCTAAGAGGATCCTATGAAAAGATCCTCAAAGAAGTTCCAGATTTGGGGTTAAGAAATTAGGAACACATCTCTATGATCAAATATCGAAAGGACTTTTTCTTGTTGTTTCCCCTCTCTGCTTTCCTTCCTTCTTTCTTTCTTTTTAAGGTAACAATCCTGAATGATCTCTGGGGTTCTCCCCCAAAAGATCCCAAACTAACAGCCCATCTGTCTTGAGAGTATCTGCCTTGGAAGCCCCAAGACTGATGAAATAAAACAAAACTGTCCACGTCTCAGTCCCTCTTATTATATATTGTAATCAGTCTCATTGAAAAACTATGTGAAAATTACTATGCAAGCTTCAGAAATTTAAGAGATGGTAGTGCCTACATGAGGATAGCATTAATGAAGACCCCCCACACTACTGCACCATTCTGATTCACACACTGACCTCATACTTCTGTTAAAAATGCTCTATAAGGGACGCCTGGGTGGCTCAGTCGGTTAAACGTCTGCCTTCATCTCAGGTCATGATCCTAGGGTCCTGGGATTGAGTCCCAAATCAGTCTCCTTGCTCAGCAGGAAGCCTGCTGCTCCCCCTGCTTATGCTTTCTCTAATAAATAAATAAAATCTTAAAAAAAAAACTCTATAATTATGGCAACAGAAATGATACATGATTAGACATTCACTTATAGCAACTGTTTTTAAACATAGTTGAGCAGTATAAAACAAAACTAAAACTAACCATTTGTGCAAGGAATTAAATGTTATCAACATAAACATTTGTGTCCTTTCTCCCCCCACAGCTTAGTCCTACATATCAATAACACACTCCTTGCCCCTGCTCCAGATGACAGCAAACTACAAACCCATATGAAATCTAGTTAAAAGAAATTTCCAATATAAATGTCAACTTGCTTTTACCTTATATAATCGATAATCTTAATATGCCCTCTTGATTCCTACCTCTGTACTTCTGATTAGTGATGCCCATGATTAACAGAGATGTGTTATGATTTACAAGATAGTTGCAAGCAGAATTTTTCCAACATTTTGAAATAGCTTTGGCTTTAATGCTGAAGGACTTTTACTAAATTGAATTTAAAGAACAAAAGTTTATTTTTATTACAAGAAGTGAAATTTAGATGATTGAAATAATGCTAATAAATCAAAGATAAATTACTGTAAATAAAACATGACTTGTCTCCACACCTCTTTGTGATTCATTTTTTCCAACTCATGACTTATTAAAAAAAATGCTAACTTGTAAAATAAAAAAGTAATCAGAAAGCAACTACCCTTTGTTTTTAGTAGCAAAAATAAAGAGTAAAAGCACACAGAAGTATATGAATAGGGGTAACACTTTCTGGTTAACAAACAGTTTGCAGATGTCATTCATTTAATTGCCTGTTGATTTATAAAAAATATAGTGGTATGGTTAGTTTCTGTTTAGTTATTTGTAAACTATTTCAAAAATAGCGTAAGGTAGCTCTGGTTGGTTAGAGCCTGAGTGGTGATACTGAAACTTATATTAGTAAGTCATAAAAAGTCTCCATGTTTCCAGTTCTTCATCTCTAAACAGGTATGACAAGGTAGGCAAAGAAGTAAATGAGACAGTATTAGTAAACTCTAAGTCTTTTAAGAATACAAGAGTTATTCTTGTGTTTCTAGTTATCATTTTTGAAGAATGACCAAAACAGTTTTAGGTAGGACCTTAAGGATAAAAAGAAGTTAGTAAATGAATAGGGAAAAAAAAAAATTCTTACTCTATTACTTTTATTTCCATTTTTAAAGCCTCTCCAACTTTCAAAATAAGTCCTATTCTCCTATTACCATGTTTCCATGGACATTTTTAACAAATTTCTGCATTTAATTTCTTACCTGAGAATGTATATTTTCTAAATATACTCCATACACTAATCTAAACATGAGAAAGGAGGCTTTCTCATATACTATTAGGGAGAGTAAAAACTGGCACAAAAATTTTTTTTGGTAGGAAATCTGGTAATATCTATCCATATTCAAATGCACATACACCAACTCATTTTTAGAAATTAAAGATACACCTCTAAAGCACACAGAGAAGGCACATATGAAGATGTTAAGTAAAACTGTGTTTACAATAACAAAATGGTAAATAATATAAATTCCCATTATTAGGGTATTGGTTAAATAAGGTTTGGTACAAGCATATAATGAAATGCTAAGTAGCCATTAAAAGGAATTAGATAGGTTCCCATATACTAACATGGAAAGCTGCCTAGGAAATATTAAGCGAAAAAAAGAAATTACAGAACAAAAATCATCCATTTTGTTGTTTTCAGCCTATATATGAGAAAAAAATCTGGAAGATTCTATGAGAAATCATTGTACTTCTGTGGACTAAAACTAAAGCAATGTTTTTCTTTTTAAAGATTTATTTATTTTTGAGAGAGAGAGGGAAAGAGAAAGTGTTCACACACAGGCGCACACGTGTTGGGGTAGGGGCAGAGAGAGGGAGAGAGAGACTCTCAGACCCCCTGCTGTGCACCCATCTGGACTGGGGCTTGGTCCCAGGACTCATGAGATAATGACCCGAGCCAAAATTGTGAGCCAGATGCTTAACTGACTGAGCCACCCTGGCACCCCTAAAGCAATGTTTTCAACCTCAGCACCAAAGAGATTGGACCAGATAATTGTGTGTAGGCTGTCCTGTACATTGTAAGATGTTTAGCAGTAGATGCCAGTAGCACTCCCTGACCAAGCTGTTAGAATCAAAAACTTCTCCATACACTGCCAAATGTCCCCTGGGAGAAAAACTCATCCATAGTTGAGAACCACTGAACTAGAGAATAAAGGAGTAAAGGTGGGGAAAGGAACTTCTACTTATCACCTTATACCTTATTTGTAAATTTTAACCATGAAAATATATAGCACTTGCAATTAAATAAAACAAAACCCTAGGTAAGAAGCAATAAAATCATTAAGGTGTTTGAAAGGAAATGTGCATTTTCAATGGAATAGGCAGAAAAATATATGGATTCTGCCACTTTGTTTCCATGACTAACTCTTCCCACGATGCCCACAATCCCAGCTTCATCATTTTCTACCCCTTTGCCCATAAATCTTGGGGGCTGTAGCTCCTTATTACCAGCATTGTTTAGACTAGGTCCCTCCTTCCTTCTTGTTTTGTATATTCAGATAAATATAAATAAACAAACAAAAAATGGTTCCAGAATATGGAAATTTCTAATTTTGCCCAAGAAACATGGAGAAATACTATTATCATTTATTTAAAAATGAAATGAATTTAGCACTTGGGAAAGTATAATATCTGCTAATAAACTCTACTAGACCAAAAACAAATGTGGTTCACAGAGAAGATCCAGAATCTGTAGAAGTTTCTTCTAATGATGTTGGTTATTCATTTACTTATCTATCTATCCATTTACCCCAAAATTTGAGATCTTTAAAATTCTTGCTTTTATATAGCTCACACTGGGGGATAAAGGGATGATTATCTGATCAAGAACTTTGGCTAAACCTTTATTTTTTATTTTATTTTGTTATATTTATTTTTTTGGCTAAATCTTTAGAACTTAAACTGATGGGGAGCAGGCGAATATTAAAAACGACACAATATCTAATGAGGAGCGAAAACCTACAGATTAATCAGTATGAATGCACAGCCCAACATAAAGCAAATTAAGAAAATTAGTAATAATTAAAATTAGTAATGGATAAATTCCCCAAATTTGAAAAATTTGTCAAGCTTACTACCTTTGATAACCAGATACTACTTTTTTGTAAAGTATTAAGGAAGAGGGAAGCAGTCTTTTCATTAACTTTAGACATGGTTTCAAAAAAATCCTATTTCCACACATAACTTTTACACAACTTTACAGTGATAGTGAATAACTACACTGAGTGGTAGTATCTAACTTCTTAAGAACATGTACTTCAAAGATAAAACTTACGTGAAAGGGGCCTTAAAAGCCATGAATATCATAACCACTATTGTTATCCCTTATTACTTGGGTCTGAGTATATCTGCACATTTGCATAATTAAATGGACCTAAAAACATTAAGTTTTATATGGGTGATTGGTGTTATAAATAGAACAATCTTATTTTCCTCTCAGAATAAACTGTTTCAGCTGGAAGTATTTCAGGCAGTTGAGGCTACAACTATGCAGCAAAATAATTTAAAGAAACTTACTTTTTAAAAAATGGTACAGTGTGGTCAAAATCTCCTTAAGCGCACAAAATGCATATGTTTCAGTAAAAGCCACCTCAGATTTGAGCTCCTGGTCTTGCTTTAGAATATCTGAAACATTCCTCTGGATAATCATACTCTTTTAGGAGAGGTAGGAAGGGAAGGCGGGGTGAAGAGGCATTGTGCTGGGACTGCACTGGAGGTGCTCTGCATTTAGTTTTATATGTTTGCACATAAGCTTTCTTTTTAAAGAACTACTGTTGGAAAGAATAGTTTGAAAAGTACTGATTTATGCCATTGTAGCAGTAAAACCAACTCCTCTCTCTTCATTTGGATTTCATGAGTATGTCAAAAGGAAAACTTTAATATAGAATCAACATAGGTCATGACATAAAACAAATCAATGAATTAGTATATTATTGGAAAACATACCTGATTCTGGCCAGAACAGCTTGTAGAAAGCTCAGTACTGTCCTAAGTTCAGATTCTTGACAAGCTCGCAGAAGCATACTAAATCCATCATTAAGCAGTTTTTCATGTGAAGGATACAAGCAATGGCTAGTCTCAAACACTTCTTGAACACCATCAATATAGATGGAAAGAAGTGTCCAGAGAGTCTGTCTTTGTCCCATTTCATCATTCTTAGATACCAAGAATTCCTTTGCTTTTTCTCGGAAAGCACCTGAACATTTCTCAGCCAGAACACCAATGTCCAGATTTTTCTGGGTATACATCAAGAGGAAGGCCACTTGACCCTTCCAAATGATGGAAGATGTTACCAAGGAAGGCTTGAGGAAATTTAGGAGGTCTAAGACATGACTTGCTACATCTTCCACCTCTGCGACATCTGCTAACAGTAGAAAAAGGTTGAAGAAGTTCTGAAGACCAACTTCTGTGAGTTCTTCCATTCTTTTTTGATGGAATTTAGAATATATTCTGCAAAACATAAAAAAAATACTTGTATAAAATTTTCATTTACAAATATCAATCTTTTAGAATAACATTTCACTCAATACTCATGACAATTTCATTACTTTAAGTTTAGCTAATTTTTCTTATGATGCTACCATGTCACTTTTTCTGCTTCGAAAACAGACTCACAGAATGCCCATACCTTCAAATTTCTCAGTGATGTAGCAACCACCTATGATTAAATAAAAGGACTGAGTGGTCTTCCCCAAAGGACAGCAGAAATGTTCTTCTCATACAGTATGTGGCTTATCCTATTATTTTAGAACTCTTAATCACCTTTTTTAATTTTTACTGACAAATAATATATACTCCCTTCAGTACAATTTGATGTGCTTTAAAGAAATCTTAACAGGGCAATTTTATACAATTTTCCTTAAACTCTTTCTACCCCTCACAAAGACCGGCTCTTGCAATAATTATACCTAAGACAATTTAAAATGCTGGAAAAAATTATTTTTACCTACTCATAAAGAAAAATGGTTAGTGTTTAAATGTCCAAGACTAACCATTTAAAAATCTCTTGGGTTAATATAACTTAATAGTTGACGTACTTTTCTCTCACCAATTAAGGGATCAGAATTGGAATAAATAGAACTGTTACTGAATACATTCCAGTGATTTGTTTTAGATAAAGTTCTGAGTCTCAGGTCTTCCACAAAATGATTTAAGATTCAAAAACAAACTGGCAGACGGGACCAAAGAAAAAACTGCTTGAGCTGCATAATTTTGGAGGTTTAGCAAAGAAGCTACCATTAAAAAAAAGTATACTCTAAAAACAGTCCTACTGTTATCACTATAACCTTGCAAGCAGTATATGGGAATCAAATAGGAACTTCATTTAGTGATTCTTGAGAAGTCCTTACCTAGAATATGAAGGTATTCTTACTCTGATGCAAGAGCTACCATCATATAAGCAAGGGGTACAAAGATGGCTAGAAAAAGGGCTAATGAAGTAGAAAAAGGGAAGACAAAACGCATACCCACATAACAAGCAAAACTCTGAAAAAAAAAAAAAGTGAACAGATGAATATGACCAGAAGTTTATTTTACTACGCCAGAAATGAAAACTGGGCATACTCCCCAAATGAGAACAATCAAGTTATTTTGTCCTATTATCCTCTGTTTAGTTTTCATTCAAGGGAGCAGGGCCTATGCGACTGCTATACTCAAAGAACACCAAGTTTTATAGGTTGACTCCATTACCTGCCAATGTACGATTTGCAGATGTTTTCTATTTCTATAACTTTGAATACACTTTATGCATTGAATTTATATAATAACATTACAATTAATTTTGGCAAGAAAAACATTCTCTAATAGCCCTGACTTTAATAATGGAATTTCAATCTTCAGGACAGATGAGATAAACTAAAATCCTCTACAAGTTACAGATATTAAATTTGTTCCTGTTACAAATTGGCAGGATCAAAAGGCTACATGTTTTGTTGTCCTGTATACACTAAGGAATACATTTTAAATGTATAAACCACAAAGACTTCCAAGCACAACTAAAAAAATACAAACAGTAATTACTGCTTCTCTACAGTGAACATTCATGACAAAGAAAGATATGGCACATACCTTCCTTTGATTTGTTTCCAAGGATGAGGGCCATTGTTCTTCATTGCTTTCTTAACAACTTTTGCCAAAATGCAAAGGAAAATGGTGTAACTACTGCTGGATTTATAAAGGTCATTATCTTGTTTATCACAACAGCAGGCCTTCACCATTTCTAGCATTGACAAGGGTGACTTAATGATATATGTAAGGCCTTTCAAAGGAAGCCAAGAGATGCTGAAAGGACTATTCTAAAAGCAAATAAATAAATAAATAAGTAAACAAACAAATAAATAAAAAGTATTAAGTCTGAGTAAATAAGAATTTTTTAATCTCTTCTATTCTTTAAGTTTCCCAGCGTTTATGTCATACCGTTTATTTTTATATTAGGTCATTTGTTGTGTAGAACTTTCTCCAATCTGGATTTAGCTGCTTCTATCTCCCTAGTGTCATGTAATGTACTCTTTTATCCCCTCTCTTTTCTGTAAATTGGTAGCTGTATCTAGAGGACTGATCAGATTCATGCAAGTGGAGGTTTTTGGGAAGAATCTTCCGTTGATGGTACTGGGCACTTCCTATTGTAATTTAGGAAAGAGAGACGTAAGTTGTGTCATTCCTTTTGTAATGTTAAGACCGGGTGTGCTGTCAACCTGACCTATTCATCTGAGCCATCCCCACCAGACTTTCACTCAACAGTTTCAGCAGCCACTGATGATCACTGCCCAGATACCTTACTTCATCAGGCGTACAAACAGTAATTTTCTAATTCTATCATTACTTCTCAATTAGCTCCTTAGAAATTTGGTTACTCTAAAATATAGTTTATATTTTCCCTTATTTACAGTTTTCAGAATGATGAGGTTTTTTTTTTTTCCAGAATGAGGGTTTTTTTTTTTCAGAGTAGTAACTTTTCTAAAGGCATCATACACTCAAGGATTTAAATGTATTTGATGAGTTTTAATCCACAGCAGTCATTATTCTTTCTTATGCTCAAATCTACCCAGCATGAGGGCAACAGGAGCTCCTTCAAGTTGGCTCCTGTGTCCTTTTGACAGGACTCCATCTTACTTTGATAATCCCTGCTTTCAAATATGACAAGACACTAGAGACTCTTATTATACATGTTACCTCAGACCTAGAATGGGTCATTTCTCCAATCAGCCTGAAATTATGCTTCAAAGTATTTTTCTCATTTTTCATAAGCTCCATTATGTATAAACCCAAACTAGTAATTTACTTGTAAATCTCCCATTTCCATTTTCTATCTTGACTGAGGGGTTCACTATTTACCCAGAAACCCGAACATTCCAAATTTTCTCTTCTCCTCACACACAAAAGGTAATTAATGCTATAAATCTACCTTTAAAATTTTTATTTTCCTAATTTATCCTCTCCTTTCTAAACCCTATTTTACTCACTCACCACATTATTAGCATGTATTTTTACACTGGACTACTAACTGGCACCCAATTCATTTATATCATTTTCAGAAGAAAACCTTCTCACACACATATCTAATATGTCACGTCCTTGGTATCCTATGTCTCCAGAATAAATCACAACTCCACATGCACATAATCTCGCCACTGACTACCTTGTCTACCTACTTTCCCTATCTGCTGTCTCTCTCCACAGTTATCTCAAACCTATCATTCAGAACTATTTATTTAACACAGTAGGAAAAGATCATGTTTTTATGTGTTCATACATTTGTTCATAATATTCCTTTTGCCTGAATGCTCTTTTCTTCTGTACTTGTAAACTCCATGCATTCCTCAGTTAAAAAATTACAACGTCCTAAAGTCTTCCACAAGTCTATACACTGGTCAGATACTCTGTCCTTTGGCATTCCACAGTATTGTAACTTTTTCCCCCACAATGTATGTGTATCTGCCCACTAGCCTATAAGCAACTCAAATGCCAAGAGTATGTCTCATTCGGGATTGTATTAACTGTTCAATGTGTTGCAAGCAATCAGTAATTGTTAGAAAATATGAATAAATGAGGATTAAAAAAATATCTTTCGGGTACAATTTGGCTACTTTGCTTACTCTCACTCTTAAGAGAAAAGGAACGCAAATGCTCATTCCCTTATGTCAATGCTCTATAGATAGCTATTCTTAATTAAACCATAAAAACATTCCTCACATATGTACAAATTCTTCAAATTCCTGGAACAAATTCATATTCTATTTACTTACCAGGTTCTTACTATAATATTCCCAAAGAATGGTGACGATTGCAATGTTTGGCTCCCAGAAATCACAAAGTGTCAAACAACAGTGAAGATGCATTCGTAATTGTTCTTCAAGTATACCATCCTAAAAAATAAACTGAAATTGTGGGAAAGTAAATGGGCTCTGGAAACATGAATATTATTACTTGATACTGCACTTTTTTATAACCTGCTTCTAAAAGAATATGAATATATATCACCAAATCATACCCACTCTCATCTTCAGACCAGAAGTTCTAAATCAGCGTAAGGTATACTTCTAAAAATTTGCTTTAGAGACTACTCACATACTCAGATAATAGGAATTACATAACTCAACATGACTTTTAACACAATTATTTAAAGGTTACAATAGTTGTGGGGTGCCTGGCTGGCCTAGTCAGAAAAGCATGCAACTCTTGATCTCGGAGTCATAAGTTTGAGCCCTGTGTCAGGTGTAGAGATTACTTAAAAAAAAAAAAAAAAAAAAAAAAACTTAAAAAAATTACATAATTGTTTCATAACTGAATGGTGTAAGAAACCCAAACTAGAATGAAGTAGCAAAAATGAACTAATAATTAAAATGTACAAAAATCCAGAGGACTTGGTCATCCTTAAGTATGAGGTCAAATTCTTTGTAGGAATAGGAGAGACTCAGATTAGCAGAGTACATGCATTTTAACCTCTTAGGAAATGGCAATAGGAGTAAGAAGTGAAAAAAATGCAGTCAGTAATCAAACTTCTGTGGTGAAATAATCATGCATGTTTGTTTAAAAGTCACATCACCGAGGGGCACCTGGGTGGCTCAATTGTTAGGCGTCTGCCTTTGGCTCAGGTCATGGTCCCGGGGTCCTGGGATCGAGCCCCTCATCAGGCTCCCTGCCTGTTTCTCCTTCTCCTACTCCCCCCTACTTGTGTTCCTGCTCTCGCTGTGTCTCTCTGTCAAATAAATGAATAAAATCTTAAAAAAATAAATAAATAAAAGTCGCACCACTGACTCACTCAACAATTACTTATTTAAAGCTTACTATATGTGCTATGGTGAGCACTGGGAATTGTGCAAGACTGTTGAATCACAGATCTGTACCTCTGAAACGAATAATGCAATATATGTTAAGAAAAGAAAAAGATGATAGCAGGAGGGGAAGAATGAAGGGGGGAAATTGGAGGGGGAGACAAACCATGAGAGATGATGGACTCTGAAAAACAAACTGAGGGTTCTAGAGGGGAGGGGTTGGGGGATGGGTTAGCCTGGTGATGGGTATTAGAGAGGGCACGTTCTACATGGAGCACTGGGTGTTAGGCACAAACAATGAATCATGGAACATTACATCAAAAATTAATGATGTAATGCATGGTGATTAACATAACAGTAAAAAATTAAAAAAGAAATAAAGCTTACTATATAAACCAGGCACTATTCTAAGGTATTAGGCACAGAGCAAAGGATAAGTCAGACATGGTACAAGCACTAATCATAGCAGGGTAACATGGCAGTTAGTGGTAGAGGATGTGGATTATTAGTATATCAGAAGCTGTGAATGAAAAGACCTTTTTGAGAGTTGGCTGATAGAATGAAAAAGAGCCAACCATTAAAGGCCTGAACAAAAACACTCATGGCAGAGAAGACGCATGGAAATTAGCAGTAAGCTTGGTATTACAGGATTAAGTCAGAGATATCCATGGACCAAGTTTCCTTTGAGGCTTTGGTAGTCTTGATATGAAGTATGGGTTTTATTTTACATATGCCGGGAAACCACTAGAAGACTGTAAGCACAGGAGTAACGTGATTGTTTCAAAAATACTGCTCTTGATCATGTATAGAGAATGAATTCATTAAGAATAGAAGCAGGAAGACTGGTTAGAAAGTAAATAGTGACACTTGCAATATAACAGAAAAACAGACTGTGAGTTCAAATACAAAGCAGACATGTTGGGAGATTTGAAGGTGCGTGGTTATATAGTAAGCTTTAAATAACTGCTGAATGACTGGGGTTGAGTGGTATGTCACTTTTTAACAAACATGCATGGTTACTCCATCATAGAAAATTAAAGTGTCTACTTTTTTTACTTCTACTTCTGTCTCCTCCTGCCACCTCAAAGTTTAGAAGACAGTTATGTGAAACTGTAAGACTAAGATAAGCACACAACTTTAAAGATATATTTAGAAACAGAGGCAATGGGATTTTTTTGATGAGTTATATGAAGGTATGAAGGTAAGAGAGCAATTAAGAATTACAGAGAACTCCCAGGTTTTGGCTTAAGAAAATGAGTTGATGGTACCATTTCATGAGATGGCAAAGGCTAGGGAAGGAACAGATGGGAGAGTGCACAAGGGCAACCAAATGGAGATATTATGTAGATAATGTGATATACAGGCCTAGAGCTCAAGGGAAAAACCAGAGCTGTTGATAGTCATTCAGATCTTACTTTCATATTGATGGTTTTTAGAGCTAAGAGGCTAGATAAGATCACCCAAGGAAGGAGTATACATGGAAATGAGTAAAGGATCCAGAACTGTGAGCCCTTTGCTATTCCAACATTTAGGTATCGAAAGGAGAGGAATTATCAGCCAATGAAGTAGGAAGGGAACCAGATATCATGGAAACCAAAAGAAATATTTTAGAAAAGGGAAGTTGTCAACAAGGTTGAATGCTGAGAGGTTAAAATGAGAAGAAGAAAGAATTTTTGGATTTGACAACGCAGAAGTTACTGATGGCCTTTGACGAGTAGTTTCAGGGATGGCACAGACAGAAGCTTAACTATGGCAGGCCGAGAATATAATATAGGAGGTGAGGAAATAGAGATATTTAAGTTAAGATATATAAAGTCCTTGAATAGTTAAGAAGAGACAAGATCCAGTACACAGGGAACAGAATTAGATTTTGATAGAAATAGTAACACTTTCAGTAAGACAGAAGAACAAATTGAGCGGACATGTTCAGAGATTTGAAGGTACAAAAAGGTGTTCTCAAATGACTGGTTCTATTTACTCAATGATTTAAAAGGTAGATTCTTGGCTAAGTTAATTGGGGCAAGGCATGCATTGAATTGTGTGTTAAAAAGAAATTCTCAAATAATTTTGGAGAGTCGAAAAGCAGACTCTAGAGCTGACTGTCACTTGAGATCTATGATCAAGAATTTAGAGTCAGAGAAGTCCATAAGAAAGATCATTTGACTTTGTCTAGCAATATTCAGCTGGGCAGTGAGGCTGGCAGGGGTGTAGGAAAGGATTAGGTTTTGCCGAGTTAAAACAGTTGAGGACTATGGAATTAAAGGTGTTTGTGATGGAATGACTATAATAAGGGGGGTGTATAATCTAAATCGTTCAAGGAGGAAAGTTTGGACATGGAAGAAGACAGAAAATGGAAAAAAATCAATAGTGACAAGTAGAATGAAAATGAAAAGAAAAATGAAAAAATGTAAAGCATAACCATGGAAAGTGGGTGAGATAAGTGAGAGAAAATGTGATTAGATGTGAGGATGTTAAGAAACTTAGAGGACAGGGTGATACACACAATAATGTTGGGGTCACTAATGAAAGTAATTCTCTGAAAGAGAGGGAACCAAACATGAGTTTTTTTTTTTTTTTTGATAAGGCATTAACTCTTCTAATTATTCCCCTCACAACTCTTTTAATTATTAATCCTTTAGAATATATTCAGGCTTCAAGTCCTCAAGGAAACTTACTAACTTCCACACTGACAGTGACCTTCTTTTACGCTCCATGGCATCCTACACACACCTATATCACAGCACTTACCTTGTTAAATTTAGTGTTTATCAGCTTTCAAGTGTCTATAAGCTTCCTGAGAATTAGGGTAATTCTCCAGGGTCCAGCACACTGTCTGGCTTGCCAAAGAAACTCCACAAATATTTCATGAATTAAACTGAGATCTAGGTTCGGGCCTCTTTTTACCAAGTAGCTGTACAGCTTAGGGAAGGATACTTAGCTTCTCTAATAGACAAGTAAACTCATTTAACCAAAGAAGAGAGGTTTCTGTCCATCGCTAACATTCTTTGGTTTTATTATGAAAATATTAAACAAGACCCAGGCTCATTCCTGTGGCACACTACTCATAAATTAAAACATGCTAATTTTATTATACTTCAAGGTTAAAAAGCAGGTTATATTTTTAAAGTGGGTTCATTTTGAAGAGTTTGTTTTATTTTACCGGGTATCTGAAACTCATTTCACATGCAATGTAAAACCCACAAAAAGATATTTAAATCATAAAATACACGAGGTTTGGGAAAAACAACTGTCAGGCATTATGTGACATTTTACATATGTTAGTTCATGTAGGTCTCATACCATTTCAGTTTCATTACCTTCATTTCACACAAAAATATCATATCCTGTGGGACTTTTTATTTTTTTAAAGGACAGGAGATAAATTTTCCTTCCTTTTCCTGATAGTGACTACAGATTACAATGAAAAGTAATGGCTTAGAAAATACCATTTTCTCCACAGTTCTGGCAGGTTAGGTGTGACTTAAAAAGTAAGTCTGTTTAGCCCTTAATTAATTACAGATAGTATTTATTATAAAATACATTTTCATGTTCTGCATATTCAACTATTGCTTTGTTTTGAACCATTTTCCCTTATTTTTTTCTTAAAAATTTCTAAAAATGTGTGTCTGTGCACATCAGCTGAATAAGGAGAGAAAGAATTTGGCCATCTTCAAGTCCAGATACTCAGAGATAGGAATACAAAATAGTCAGGAGTAGAGGAGCAAATAGACATCTTAGCTCAAATTCATAGTGAGAAAAAAGAGCTGAAATACAGTGAGGAAGAGTACTGGAGAATGCTTGAGGATATTAATCTTTTCCTATCTTACATTTTCCCAACACACACTTACTGGAGAGAAAAAACAAAACAAAACAAAACAAACAAAAATATGGAAAAATTGAGATGCTTTCCACAAGTATCACCAAAAGAGGTCTAGAAACCAAAATGGATTATTAATTAAACACATAGCATCAAAGAAGCCTTAAAATAGAAATAATGAAAAAAAATAGTTTTTATTAAGAATCCTACAGTGGCATCTGGATGGCTCAGTCAAGTGCCAACTCTTGATTTTCGCTCATGTCATGATCTGAAG